TATAAATTTCGACTAACACTCCATAATGATAATGCTCTCGTGAATTTTTTTTCTTTTTTCTTTTTTATTTACACAGTAATACTATTCAGACGAATTGAAGCCCCACGATAGTGATTTATACGGATATTAGAATGAAACTGACAATCGTCAGATAACGACGATCATCCTCGAATATCCCATCAATTCGGAAAATTACTTTTTTCGAAAAATGGTACATACATATGTACACAGACGATCAGTATGCCTTCGTAAGTATAACTTATGTACACGTTCGTAAACGCGTCTTTACGTACGTAATCTTCACATTCCCGAGAAATCGTGATCGGCAATAACGCGGGGGCCTATCTTATTCTGTCGTTTTGCTACCTGCAAAATTCTATCTAACTATCTTGGATTCCTCCGAACGGTGCGAGGTTATTTATAATTATATACATCAGGTTCGGTCCTTTCGCGAACAATTACCTTTGGCACAGTGCACAATTAGAAAATTCGCGCGACAGGATACGTTCACCACATGCGTTCTCATGTACAAATGGTATCACATGTATTTATGCAACATTAACTGCAAGCAGGGAAAAAAGAAGCTTATTCTCTTTCAAAATACCTTTGTCGAAAATATCTTCACTTCCGAAACGACTAGGTCATGACAAATGAAATCTAAAGTATTCGTTTGATACGTATAATCATCATCAAATTGCACATTTCAACGCAAGAGGGCAGTAAGTCAAACACACGAAGTACGAAGCCGAACTAGTTAAATCGAACGTCATATCGAGATAGGTAGTTTAAACGGTGAACGTTTCGAACACTAGCTTGCTTTCCACTCTACTTGCTCGGCACGTATCACGACTTGTCATGAACGTTCATATTTTCTCGAGAAACGATTACGTGGATTTAAATACGATTACGTGGATTCCTTGGAACGCAAGAGAACAATATGGAATTCGCGGCTTGTACGATAAAATACCGCGGTAGTGGTTCAACGATATGTTCAACATTAAAAGGACTGTCTTTGGCCGTGTCTCGCATCGTTGATAACAGCGACCGCCATCGACTTTCGAGAGTTCGCTTATCTATTGTCGATGATATGTACCGAAGCCTTGACGTTTCCATCAATCGGCGAGTCTCAGATTCACTTTCGGTCGCCCCATCCGGCACTGTTGTAAAACCAAGACGAAGCGCTCTCGTCCCTCGTTTTACTCCATGTATTATCTAAACCGCTTCCTCCACCATCCTGTAAGTATAATTCAGAAAATCATTACAACAGAATAATTCTCGGCAAACACATGTTGATCACATTATCTTATATTTTTAGCAACACGTTCCCTACTTTTCGATTACACTTGATTTTCTGCATTAGATAAGAATTGGATTTGATCTTTATTCGACCCTCGTAATAAACATGAAACAAATTTCTACATCTGCTTATAAAAATGAAACTGTATAAAAATCCGTAATCTAATCCAAAGATCAAATCCAATTTTTATCTTATACAGACGACCAATGACATTAGCACTCTGTGAGAACTTGTGTATTAATTGCATAAGTTTCAACGTTTATAGTATACATTAATTATAGTGCATGCTTACCACGACATTCAACTGATGCGTTGCAGGTGAGAGATAATCCATGTTGGTGTAGTAAGAAGAATAATTTTGGTAACATTGTTGTTGAGACGTGGTTGTTGTCCACGCTAACCTCTGATGATCACCAGGAAATGCTCCACCGCTTTCCGTGACGGCCGGGCTCCAGATACTACTGCTACTGCCCCCACTGCTGTATACCGTTCCCCCTAACTGCAAAACACCACCCTTTCTGTGAAACCATCCATATCCACCGAGGATAAAAGTTCTTAGCAAACGCTCTTTTTGTCGATAACTTACGCTTGGCGGAGTTGTACTGGAAGCCAGGAGTAAACTGGTTGCGCTTCCTGCAGGTTTATACTGCGGAGAATCTCTTAGAAGAGCCGGCGAGCTAGCCGCTGAACCACCTGCACCTCCACTTCTACACACACAATTTAAAACTATAAAAGACAAATATTACAAATCAACTATAAATCGCTAACCCAATGAAGTTGAATGTCGTGTGACGTCTTCGAGATTGATAGAGTAAAAACGCGGTAGGTCGTAAAATTACTCTATTAATCATGCCATTCGTACATTTACATTTGTCCTTTTTTTTTTTTTCTTTCGCAAAGTGAAAAATGACGATAACTGGGAGCTTTGTCGAAAAAGGAAAAAAAAAAAGAAAGAGAAAAGGTAGGTATTAATGTAAGCGATATTTACAGAGGTGTTGTGGCTGGCACGGCCGCAGCAGGCGTGGGCGTGGTAGCAATCGAAGGACTTTTTCCAGAGGGCGGATTGTTACTCGGATTGCCGGAGGGCTTTTTCGACCTCGGTGCTTTGTCCTGTTGTTGCTGCTGTTGCTTCTGCTGCTGTCTGCATTTGGCTCTGCGATTTTTGAACCACACCTACGGCACGTGCAACATAAATTGATAAATTATATCAAAGGAACGCGTGCACGCGATTACGAGTAGCTGTGTATACGCGTGTATATATGTATATATGTATATATATCTATATTTTATTCGATGAAAAAAAAATATGAAACTAAATATCTACGTTCCTATATTCTATATAGCACATTTTTTTCTCTTTTCCTTTTTTCAATAAACGACTGAAAGCAGCTTTCGATCCATATTTTTGCGTTCAAACGCGACGAGGTGCGGGTCTCATAGAAAACGAGCACGGAATGGTGTACAGAGCTTTCATAAAGCTGGCGTAATAGCCAATTATAGGGGAATGTAGCACGGACGCAACTATCAATTACCAATGAAGCCGGATTCGATAACACGAAGCAGAAACCAACGCGTATGAAACTCGTTCGCGTCTGTCGATGGAACAAAATGACGGAGAGCAAACAGGTTGACGTGTGAGCAAACTTCCGTTAATAGAATAGTTCCGACGATTTCTGATTTTTCGATCAAACCCTGACAGACACGATATGCTCGTTTTCTGTCGTCGTCGAGCTTTAAAACACCGAATCAATCATTCCAAGATTAATATTAAGCGATCGAAGATAATCGCTTGCAAATCGTTTCAACGTAAGCTTATCTGAATTCCCAGGAACCATCGTTTTTTCGAGAAGCGACAAAGCGACTTAAATTATTTAGCGGAGAAACTTTTTACGTCTGGTTACAGACGTCTAGCGAAATCGTTGATTTCACTTGTCGAAGTATACGACAGACTTGGCTCTTCCTTCGATCCGTGTCGTCGTGCGCCCTCCTAGATTTTCAGAACGCGAGAACGACCTTTCGAGAAGGAGGCGAGAGAGTGAACGAAACCGCGTTGGAAGAACGAAGACGGAGAATAAAGAGACGAGAGAGAACGAGAGATAAAGAGGAGGGAAAATGGAGGTACGACGACGAGCAAGGGGAGGTGAGGCGAGGACAAAGAGGAGAGGGAGAGGGAGAAAGAGAGAGGAGCCTAGAGAAGCCCTGCGCGATCAATGTTAGAAGCGGAGAGGTGAGCTTGGGTTTCTACGGATTTTCTGGGGAACGACACGAGCAACCCGCGTTCTTCCACTGAAGCTGCTCCCTCATATATGTTCCTACTTACTCTGTACGAATTCTCTAGTTTTAACCGATCCTTGTGTACATCGCTAGAGACTTTGCTTTGTCTTGTCGCCTCTAAATTGCCGCATAATCTGCCACCTACTTTCGACGTATGACAGAAAAGAAAACAAACAAACGACAATTGCAAAGATAAATTTGCGATGATGCGCATATAGAAGAAACCCCGCTCGCTTCCGTTGACCGGTTCCGTTCAATTGAAAAGCCACGCAGGGGTCAGAAAATACGAGCCGACGAGCAGAAGACTCCGGTTTCGCAGTCAACGATGAACGTGCGCAAGACTATGGACCTGGTTGGACCCATTCAATTCATTTACGGGGCTGGGACCAGGTGCGTTGGCCTACAATTGCGGATGCGGCGCGCCCTTTCCGCCCGTGATGAGGGTGGAATATGCACGGACACGTTCCCGGAGTCTGTTGGCTTCGAAAGTCGATTCGGACGACACGAATTCGTTCGTGAGAGTCGGCAATTCCACGAATCATCATACCATACGCCATTCAACCGTTTCTGTCACGGAAACTTCCCCTTTTCAATTGGTCAAAAACCACCCGAGAACGCGACTTTGAGATGGAATTCGGTTCTGGGATTTTTTAACGAGGTAACGATACGAACAAACACAGGCACGCGCACGAATACGGGATGAACTACTAACTTGGTTAACACCCAACCTATCCAGGAAACACGAGCATCCAGTAAATCAATGCCGTCTACGGGACGTATCTGCATGCCGACACTACAACCCCTCGGGTAACGAAACACCGACACGACGTATCTATTGCTGTATCGTTTCGCCGTTGACGGAAACCGACATGCTCGCGCTTTCGTAACCAGCTACTCCGACGTACCTGCACTCTCGACTCTGGTAAGTTAATCTTCATTGCTACTTCCTCCCGCATAAAAATGTCCGGGTACTTGGTCTTTGAAAACAGTCCCTCGAGAACGTCCAACTGCGCCCGAGTGAACGTCGTTCGCTCCCTTCGTTGCTTTCGTGGATTGCCTTTAAAAGAAATCGTTACAGTCTTGACACGCTGTAATCACGCATCCGGCTTTAAAAATGTATCCGGCAATAGATGTATCGAAAGTAATTGTCGAAGAAGATATTCGATAATAATATGTAAAATAAGGGGCACTCACAGTAGTAGGACTCACCGGCGGGAGTACAACCAGGGTAGCCGATGGTGGAGTGAAGCGCCTCGATCGGAGGCATACCAAGGGCGCTGACGTAAGGGTTGGTCTTCAGGGCGCCGTAGGGCCCGGCCGCGGACGCGCCAAAAGCGGCGGGCCCGAATAAATCGGAGGCCGAGGTGGTGGAGGCGGCGAGGCCCCCGAGATCGGTGGCGCCGGCGCCCCCGCTGCAGCCGGATGTACCGCCGAGGCTGTTCGGCCACATCACCACCCCCTCGGCCCCCACCACGACCACCTCCCCGCCTCGCGGCCGCCGAGTCTACGCAAACCTCCTCCACTTCTCGCAATTATCCGCTGTTTCTGAAAATTCAAATTCACACCAACATAATTCACAGGCTAATCGCAGCTCTCATCTACTCTGTAAGTTAACGGATCTAAATTTTTGTAAAAATGAACGTCGATTGTTCGCACGTCGTCCCTTTAAGTGACGAACCCTCGGAAAAAGGACTATGCATTCCTTGCTTCAACATTGATCACACGAGATCTATTAAATTTACGAAAGTAGATCTTTAAAATTTTTACAGTAGTACTGTTATTAGGAAAAAGAAAAACATTATGCATTTTGATATACATGGAATGAGAAGTTTAATATCTAAATGCGTGCCGATCGTAGCTGTAACATACATTCCTGCTCGAAAAAAAATTTGAAGCATGCTGGAGTTTCAAAAGAAATGATATAATGACGTTCTTAAATTAGATAATAATATTCTTTTTAATTATTAGACACGCAAATTCAAGTATATTTGAAAAAGCAAAATCTTGATGTTCACATAATCATAGAAAAGCATTATGCTTTATTAAGTATTTATACATATATTTATATTTATATTATATTTATATTTATATCATGCGATTTTTCTATCTTGAAGTTCTCAACGTATAAAAATCCGCAGTCTATCAACTAGTACGTGTAGAAACGAAAATTACAATTATAACGTTCTTACTTCTCAGGAGAATGTACCAAAAAAATCTGTGTCACCAAATTTTTGAATCGAAGTGTAGCTGAAAGACACCGATTTCTCGAATCGCAATTTACTCCTCGATTGTCGAACAATGAACGATAACTTAACTGCCAAAGAAACCACGCGTTAAACGGAAGTCGCGGATAATGGAAAGTTCCCGGGCACTTTATACGAATATCGAAACCGATCACGGAAGATGGAAATAAGAGCGACGCGGTTGGCAGCTGGCGATGCCGGATAATCCAAAGAAGATGCAACACGACTCCGCCACTTTTCGAAGCTGTTCCCTCCCCCCTCGCCCCTGTTGACCCCGTGGACAACGGCACGCCAGCTAATTCCGAAAACGCGACGTGTCTCCTCTCGAAAACCGAGAGCGACGTCGAGAAAAAGGGGGGAGGAGGGGGAGAGGGGGGGGGG